CTCTTGGAATATTTTTTTCTCATTCCATTATTTTTTCCTCTAGTAGGCTGGAGATAATATATTCTTTCTTATCTTTTAATCTTGCAAATTTTAACATGCAAACATTAAAATCTACAGTTAGGGGCACCTGGGTGGCTCAGTGGGTTAAAGCCTCTTCCTTCGGCTCAGGTCATGATCCCAGCGTCCTGGGATGGAGCCCTGCATCGGGCTCTCTGCTCAGCATGGAGCCTGCGTCCTCCTCTCTCTGCCTACTTGTGATCTCTGTCAAATAAATAAATAAAATCTTTAAAAATAATAAATAAAACCTACAGTTAATATGTCAAATACTCCCTGAAGAAAGCGAGAAATTTAGAACATCCCTTCATAATTATTTTCTATTTTTTTTTTTTTAAAGATTTTATTTATTTATTTGACAGAGATCACAAGTAGACAGAGAGGCAGGCAGAGAGAGAGAGAGAGAGGGAAGCAGGCTCCCTGCCGAGCAGAGAGCCCGATACGGGACTCGATCCCAGGACCCTGAGATCATGACCTGAGCCGAAGGCAGCGGCTTAACCCACTGAGCCACCCAGGCGCCCCTATTTTCTATTTGTTAATTGCAAAAAACAAAACTGAAATAAGATTTAGTTTCACATACTTATTTCCCACTTTCTTTGTTCTTCATTCTTTCTACCATCTCAGACCTTCCAGTTGAAAACTCTTCCCTGTAAATGTAGAATTCCATTATTGAAGGTCTGGTGGCAAACCCACTGGGCTGTGCTTGTGTATGTATTTATTTCATCTTCAATTCTGACAAAAATGAAGAACCCATCTTTGATGGGTATAGACATCTAGATTAGCAGTGCTCTTCCCAGCATACTGAAAATAATCACTTCTGATTTGCACTATTATTGGTGACTGATTATTGTTCTCATAATTACGCCTTTGAGGTCTTTTTTGGCTAGCCTTTAAGATTTTAATACTTGTTGTTCTGGAGTCACTGTATGTCTAGAAAGGATTTCTGCTTAAGATCTGTTGGGCCTTTTATTTTTATTTATTTTTTTTTTTTAAAGATTTTATTTATTTATTTGACAGACAGAGATCACAAGTAGGCAGAGAGGCAGGCAGAGAGAGAGGAAGGGAAGCAGGCTCCCTGCTGAGCAGAGAGCCCGACGTGGGGCTCGATCCCAGGACCCTGAGATCATGACCTGAGCCGAAGGCAGCGGCTTAACCCACTGAGCCACCCAGGCGCCCCCTGTTGGGCCTTTTAAATCATGGTGTGGTGACTTTCTTCAGTTCGTCAAGTTCTCAGCTATTATCTCTTCAAAATTTTTTCTACCCATTATCTATCTCATTTTCTTCAGGAGCTGACCAAACATATAGTATGCCTTTTCTCTCTATGCTCCATGTCACTAAACCTCCTTCATATTTTCAATCTCTGTATCTTTCTTATCTCCATTCTAGGTAATTTCTTCATTTCTATTTTCCAGTACACCACTTCCCTCTAGAGCAGTGCCTAATGTGTTTTCATAAAGGATACCCCGACAAAGTCCCATATATTATTAACTAATCTATTAACACTGAATTTCATTTTTCAAAATGTTATCTTGAGATGATACACTTATTTTGATAAAACTGTTTCTGTAAAATATTTTTTGAATTCTTAGAATTACCTCTACTTCATGTATCCTTTCATTTCCTTTTTAGTGCCAAATTTTTTCTAGTCTGGTCTCTATTAAATTCATAATTTTAATTCTTACCTTCTATGTCACTTCTCTTTCTCTGTACTGAGAAGTCCTTATAAATCACAGTGATAATGGTACCCAGTAAGCTGATATAACCTATATAACTGAAGGATGTAAGAAATTATCTCATTTAACACAGATGTGTCTTTCCATACAATTAAGTCCCATAAAAATCTGGAGCATATAAGTAGATGTAGTAAGAATAATAAAAAATTGTAACACAACTATTTTCATGTACCACCTTGGCATAAATGGAAAAGAATGGTAATGTGCGGGGCGCCTGGGTGGCTCAGTGGGTTAAAGCCTCTGCCTTCAGCTCAGGTCATGATCCCGGGGTCCTGGGATCGAGCCCCACATCGGGCTCTCTGCTCTGCAGGGAGCCTGCTTCCTCCTCCTCTCTCTCTCTCTGCCTGCCTCTCTGCCTACTTGTGATCTCCGTCTGTCAAATAAATAAATAAAATCTTAAAAAAAAAAAAGAACGGCAATGTGCAATGTTGGCGAAAGTATGGGGAAATAGGCACTTTCATATGTGTGTGATAAGAATGAGAACTAGTAAAATCTTCACAGAGGGCAATTTAATAATAGGTATCCAAAATCTTCATAACTTTTCACTCATTCTAGAGCATTATCATTGAGGACATAAATCTAAAAATTTTGTTTATAGAGGTTTTATTTAAACTAATGAAAAATGTTAAATATGTAAAAATACATAACGTAGGTAATTCACAATATATTGTATAAAAAAAAAAAGCAGGCAACAAAATAATATGATTCCACATTTACATTAAAATAAACATATGCGGGGGCGCCTGGGTGGCTCAGTGGGTTAAGCCGCTGCCTTCGGCTCAGGTCATGATCTCAGGGTCCTGGGATCGAGTCCTGCATCAGGCTCTCTGCTCATCAGGGAGCCTGCTTCCCTCTCTCTCTCTGCCTGCCTCTCTGTCTACTTGTAATCTCTGTCTGTCAAATAAATAAATAAAATCTTTAAAAAAATAAAATAAAATAAAATAAACATACGCGGGGTGCCTCGGTGGCTCAGTGGGTTAAAGCCTCTGCCTTCGGCTCAGGTCATGATCCCAGGGTCCTGGGATCCAGCCCCGCATCGGGCTCTCTGCTCAGTGGGGAGCCTGCTCCCCACACCCCACCCCCGCCTACTTGTGATCTCTGTCAAATAAATCAATAAAATCTTTAAAAAAAAACAAAACAAAACACACGCAGGGGTGCCTGGCTGGTTCAATTGCAAGAGCATGTTATTGGACCTCAGGGTCATGAGTTTGAGCCCTACACTGGGTGTAGAGATTACTTAAGTAAATGAATAAAACCTTTAAAATATAAAGAAATAAAGAAAAAACATATACACACAAAAAATTCCTTGGATAGCCATTTAATCTCTGGGATTATAAGTGATGTTTAGGTTCTTTTTGCTCATTTATTGCCTAGGTTTTCTAGAGTATGTATCAACTGCAAATTAAACAATATTGAATTATTATTATTATTTACATTACTAAACTATTTTAAGTACCAGAGTACCTAACTACTTTTTACAAAAATGTTTGTAGGGGATAATAATTGTCCAGATTCAAACAGAACTATCAGTAATATACTCCTCATTCTAATAGCACTGGCGATGGGAATTCTTTCTTTAGAAATCATTCTGCCCCTCTCATCATGTACCTAAAATCTCACTTCCAAAGGGTAGAAACAGCTAGCTACTTCTGAAAGCCTGACAGAACAGGTAGGAGGGTGGGAGGAGAGGAGTTGGGGTATGGAGAAGAAAGGAACCAAATGTTTATCAGGAACAGATTCTTGGTACTTTGAGGAGCTTTAGGAACAGGGTTGTGTTGGAGTACTGGGGAGGGGATGTTACATGAATAAACTGCAGTAGCTTCTCCTCCCTTACCTGTATTCAGATGCACATTCATTGCTACAGGTTCCACGCAACTGCTCTAAGTAGAAACCCCAGCACCAAGTGTAATTAGGAAGATGCATGTGCAACTGCTCTAAGTAGAAACCCCAGCACCAAGTGTAATTAGGAAGATGCATGTGCATCAGTGAGATAGAATATGATACAACTTCTCACCGTGATTTCATATTCTGCTACTTTTCTCCTTTCTCAGCATATTTCAGGTTTTTCTTTAGCAAAATATATTGCTTTGTTAAGCCATCATTTTTCAGCTTCTCTAACATGACATAGTGGCCCTTCAACCATAGGTTCTTTGACATACTATTTCCTCCATCTGAAATACTTCTATCCCCTCCCCCACCCTATCTTGGTTAATTCATCTTCTCATTTTTTCTGTTCTTGGTTAAATGCCATTTCTTCAGGGAAACCTCAAACACCTTAGTGTACAACCGGTTCCTTCAAGCCTTTATCTCAGTTTATAAATATACATTATGAAATATTTAGTATGGTTATTAATATCTTGTTGAACCAATTAATCCCAAGCTTAATAAAAGTGGTGCCATTGATTGGTTTTGCTCACCACGGCAACCTCCGCATCTGTAACACAGCAAGTGCTCAACACATATTTGCTGAATGAGGGAATGAATAAATCAACTAAGCAAATGACTAGAATCCCAAGTCCTTGATCAGGTAAGAGTTATACGGTCTTCTCAGGGTAGCACGGTGTATAAATTTTTGCCTTTGTTGTTGTTCGTGTACTCAGCAAAGTTTTAAAAATACACATTATTCTGGAATTCCCCATAACACAAAGTAAACCGAGACCAAACATAACTATTAAATCAGCCAGGAAAACGGCTGGACACCCTAACAGAAGCACGTAGTCTAACCTGGGGTGTTCACAAATGCCCCACATCATAAGACACCTCTCTGCGGCGTCTCAGTATCCTTCAGGGGCAGAGGAACGCACACTTGTCACCCCTCAAGGTAAGTCAGGCACAGAGTACATGGAACCTGCAGGCTTCCTACGCTTGCCAGCAGCTTCGCTGAGAAAAACGCAATCCCGGGATGACAGGGAAAGAATAAGTAATTACTCAGAATGTATTTGCTGGGTATGTGCTGTGTACCAGAGAAGCCTAGCTCTGGCTTGGCTCTGGCAGACCTGCTGGGTGGCAGGCCCTAGGCATTTCTGCTTCACAGAGCGCACAAATGAGTCCCGGGCCTGCCTACCTCCAAGGTCCGGGCCGGGACCTCCAACAGCCACAGAGCGCTTCAGAAAGTGCTGGGGTGCCTGCAGGCCGGCTGCCCCCAACCCCGGCCGCCGCCCACAGCAGAGGCAGGCGGAGGCGGGTACTCCCCCTTTGAGGGGCCGCGCTTACCCGTCGGGCGAGTACTCGAGGTTGAAGACCGCGCCGTGGGTGCGGGTGCTGAGGTACACCGAGTCCGCGGGATGGATGGAACCATAGAGGTTAGTCATGGTGCGGAAATTGTCCCGCGCCGGGTCCACGAACAGTCCGCGGCCCAGGCTGCGCTCTCTCAGCCACCCGAACAGCCGGGCTCCGGGGCCACCAACGCCGGCGCCGATGCCGTGGCGGCCCCGGCTCCCGGCCCTGCAGTCTGGCCCGGATCGCCGGCGCGGCGGGGAGGTTGGTGACAGCTCTTCCTGGGCGGAAGCAGCTGAGGAGTCTAGAGTTCCAGGCGGCCCGAGCTCCCCAGCGCGCGCGGGCAGGGGCAGCGAGGGTGCTCCGGGGCGGCGAGGGCTCCGGGAGGGCGACGGGGGAGGGGCTGCGTCAGCCCCGGGCTGCGGCGGCGCGGGCGGGGAGGGGAGCGGCCCGGTGGCTGCCACCTGCCCCGCACGCGGTGCCGGCTCCTCATCCCCCGTTCCGGCCGTCCCATCCCCTTCGGGACTACCGGGCCCGAAGGTAAACATGACCAACGCACCCGCCCCCCCGCTCCCGGCCGCAGCCCCGCCGGCCGACACCTCAGCTCTCCCGCTCCAGCCGCCACTTCCGGCGTGCGACCGCCTAACCCCGCCGGCTGGGAAACACGCGCCGCCCTTGGCTACCATCCGTTGGGGACCGCGAAAGCGGGGACACCGCCCACCGCGGATGCTTTATCCCGGAGGGACCTTGACGGGCAATGGCCGGAGCAATGACCGCTGAGCGCCCCGGAGAATGCCCAGGGCTCGGGCTGCACGGGGCGGTGGTACCATTAGGGCACTCCTGGGACAGTCGGTAGTTGTGAGTCATCGTAACTGCGTGCCTGGGGACGAGTGGGCCTGAAGAGTTAAAGGGGTGAACTATGATAATGTTATCCCCAACTTAGGCTAAGGTCAAAAGGGGTTAGAAGTTACCATACTACGTGCAGGGCCCACATAGTAAGTGGCAAGGTGTACTGCCAACTCAGGCTGGGAGTCTAACGACTCAGGTTCACTACTGTGCTTAAAGCCTAGGCCTGGGACACCTGGGTGATTCAATCAGTTAGGTGTGCGACTCTCAATTTCAGCTGTCATGATCTAAAGGGTGGTGGGATCAAGCCCCACCCTGGGCCCTGGGCTCAGTGCGTTTTAGTTTCTCTCTCTGCCCTTCCCCCTTGCTCGCTCTCTCTCAAATAAAAAAAATCTTAAAAAAAAATAATAATAAAGGAAAAATAAACACCAAGTCTATACAGGGCCTGGAAAATGGGGTCTATTGGTGCCCCCTGAATATCTGTTCAACTCCCAGCTCCTGGCCAGTAGGTCAAGATTTTATAAGGCCAAAGTCGTCCACTCTTCAAGAAGGAGCACATATCCAGCAGGAGGAGTCACTGAGAGGAGCTGGAGACCTAAATCAAATCAACCTTATGAACAACAGAGCCCAAGGGCAATTCCTGCTTATTCGTACCAGGCAGAGCACAGAGTGCATGACAGATGCAAGGCCTTTCACCACTGCTGGTAAAGATCAGTATACAGAACTCGTTTGTTTAAAAAAAAAAAAAAAAAAAAGGAGTTAACAGGATCTGGGGTGGTTCTTGGGAAGGGAAGGAGTCTTCAATAAAGGAAAGCTCGAGGTACAAGGAAAGGTAGATAGAAGAACTGACAATTCTTCCAGGCCTTGATCAAGAGGTATGTTGTAGAAAGCTCACATCTGATGATTGAGGATAAACCTGGAGGATCTTTGCAGGAAGAGCTATCCTGTGAGGACAGATCTGAAGGATCTCTACAGTAAAGGAATGAGATTCAGAGGGCTGAACATTCAGCAGGTCTTCCCATTAGGAAAGTTAGTAGTTCTTCGGCTCTCTAGTATATGAGCTGAATGAAAAAAGGGCAAGAAGCAAGCATCTTGAATTCAGAATAGCAGCCATTCCTCTGGAGATATTCTCAATGTTGCCCCCACAAAAACTTAATAGAGGCCCTCTGCTTGACCCCGAAGTTATGACCAGTGGCTGAAATTTTATGCTCTATAAAACACTGACCATTCACCAATATTATTAATTTTTAATAGGTAAAATAAAAATTTTTAAAGGTTACATATTCCAAGGTATTTAAGATATAATTCCAACAGAAAAACACAAGCTCTGCAATGAAATTTTGTGCTGCTTCAAGAAAATCAGACTTCGGGGCGCCTGGGTGGCTCAGTGGGTTAAAGCCTCTGCCTTCGGCTCGGGTCATGATCCCAGGGTCCTGGGATCGAGCCCCGCATTGGGCTCTCTGCTCAGCAGGGAGCCTGCTTCCTCCTCTCTCTGCCTGCCTCTCTGCCTACTTGTGATCTCTGTCTGTCTAATAAATAAATAAAATCTTTAAAAAAAAAAATCAGACTTCACAGTTGAGGCAATTTGAAATTAACACAGTATAGTTCCAAAACTGATTAAGAAATGTTCACTAACAATTTAGAGAATCTGGAAGCCAAATGGGAAGAAAACATTTTGTAGGTTTGCATGTACCTCTATCAGATAATGAGAATTATTCTTAAGAAGATAACCAAAAAAAGACAGTCGCAGCTGTAACACAGAATGAGACATTCAGTAATGCCAAGGTTTTTTTTTTCTTATGCTTCTATTTAAAATGTGAGTCCTCACTTACCAAATATTTTTTGCTAAAAGCTAAAATAATAAATTACCATAAGGACTAAAACTCTATTGAGATGATCATGACTTTATAACCCAACCCATCAGCAAAATAAACAAATAAAATAAAAATTTACTGGAAGTTAACTGAAAAGGCACTAAAGATGGATTAACTCTGACTGCTCCTATTTACCCAATGCCTTTGAGAGCCTTTATTTTTTTTTTAAGATTTTATTTATTTATGTGACAGAGGGAGAGAGATCACAAGTAGACAGAGCAACAGGCAGAGAGAGAGGAGGAAGCGGGCTCCCCGCTGAGCAGAGAGCCTGATGTGGGGCTTGATCCCAGGACCCTGAAATCATGACCTGGGCTGAAGGCAGAGGCCTAACCCACTGAGATACCCAGGCGCCCCTTGAGAGCTTTTAAATACAACCATGTCGTGTTAACAAGGAACTGACTGCAAATTACAGTCCATATAGACCAATTTCTATGTAACACTATTTTCAAATGTTAAAAAATTCTCAACTTCAACAGCTCAACTTCATAGATAAGTTCATCAGGAAAGCATCCTCTAAACGTCTTTGCCCTAATGTTCCTTTTAGATCACAACACAAGGAAACAATTGGCAAACATTTCTCGTAGGCCCAGGTATCAAATGTCCCTGGATACTCCCAACACTTTAGGATCTATCTCACTGAGCAGGCAGGGAGCAAATTCATTTACTTTCTTCCCTATCCACTGACTAGATGTTTTTTGTTGTTGTTGTTTTATTTATTTGACAGACAGAGATCACAAGTAGGCAGAGAGGCAGGCAGATAGAGAGGAGGAAGCAGGCTCCCCGCTGAGCAGAGAGCCCGATTCGGGGCTTGATCCCAAGACCCTGGGATCATGACCTGAGCCAAAGGCAGAGGCTTTAACCCACTGAGCCACCCAGGCACCCCTGACTAGGTTTTTAAACAATTACTTCCCAAGTAATGTAGTATGCCTGAAATACAAACATTTACCTTTCTGTTTAGGCTTTTATACTTTGGGAGCAGCAGCTCCCAAAACTCTTGATATCTTTGACATCGTTGGTTCTGCACATCAAACACAATTCTTTGCTGTGAACAAGATCAACAAAATGAGGAAGGCAGCTGGACATGGCAAATAAAGCTGAAATGGCAGTGATAATCCCAAGCATCTTCTTGACTGAATCCATGCATCTCTAGCTTTTTGAAATGGTCATCTGTTATGTCATCAGCTTGGGAAATAGCAAGTGCCAACTCCAGCACTGCCTTCTCCCAAGCAGGGAGGTCAGACTTTCTCCAGTTCACATGGACCTGCAAGAGAATACAGTCAAAAGCAGAATCTCTGTTCATCATAATATAGCCAATAAAACAAAAGGTCTAACAAAATGAGAAAACCCAAAGTTAGAATAAAGAGGCAAAGTCAGGACAAAATAAACTTTCCAATGGAATACAAACCTGAAACTCTGGCTCAACCCCACCTCTGCCAATAAGTCTTCTTTGCTCACTCCTATTACAAGCATGTCTTGCTCCTCTAAATACTTAAAGCACCAAAAATCTCAGACCCAAGACTCAGACACTCTTAAGTACATAAGGACCCCAAGTCCATACTTTTCCTTATGAGTCAAGAGAAGCTCAGATAATTATCCCTTTGTCCCCAATTAATCCAAACAAGACACAATATTTGCAAAATTAATAGCTGACACTAAGCAACTACTATGTGCTAAGAATGTGCTCAATGCTTCATATTCATTATCTTCTTATAAAAAACCTAGGAAGCACTATTTTTATTATTGTCCCCATTTTACTGGCAAAGAAACCAAAGCTCAGAGAATAACTAAACCAAAAGACACTTCTTAGAATTTAGGTTTTACTGATTTCCTACCTTTACACAGAGGGCCTGGTGATGCTCATTTCTTTTTTTTTTTTTTTAAAGTAGGCTCCACACCCAGCATGGAGCCCAACGTGGGGCTTGAACTCATGACTCTGAGATCAAGAACTGAGTTGAGATTAAGAATCAGAAACTTTTTTTTTTAGAAGTTTATTTATTTTTTTTAAGATTATTTATTTATTTGACAGGCAGAGATCACAGTAGGCAGAGAGGTGGGGTGCGGGGGGGAAGCAGGTTCCCCACTGAGCAGAGAGCCAGACGCGGGGCATAATCCCAGCACCCTGAGATCATGACCTGAGCTGAAGGCAAAGGTTTAACCCACTGAGCCACCCAGGTGCCCCAGAAGTTTATTTATTTATTTATTTATTTATTTATTTATTTTTAATTTTTAAATTAACATATAATGTATTATTAGCCCCAGAGGTACAGGTCTGTGAATCACCAGGTTTACACACTTCACAGCACTCACGATAGCACACATCCTCCCCAATGTCCATAATCCAACCACCCTCTCCTTAACCCCCTTACCCGAGTAACCCTCAGTTTTTTTTGTGAGATTAGGAGTCTAAGAGTCAGAAACTTAACCAACTAAGCCATCCAGATGCCTGGTGCCCATCTCTAAGAATTAAATTAATAAGAAGCCTTGATATTAGTAAAGTACTTTGTTAAGTTTTAAGTACTTTTGTTTTAAGTTTCATATATCCTTTTCCACAACTCTTTAAGGTAGGTAAGGCAGATATCACTATCACCAGTTTACAAATAAGGAAACTAAGGCCCAGAGAGGTTGAGTGACTTGGCCAAGGCCATACCAAAAGAGGCAGCCTTGGAATTTTTTTGATTTGGGTTTTCAGTATATTTCCTAATGGGATGTTATGGCAGACAACTATTGGCTGCTACCCAACAGCCATTTGTTCCCTCCTCCCTTGACAACAGAAACTGGATATTGCTCAGATATCAAACTGCCACCAGTTTCAGGGAAGGTTAAGTCCTTCTCCAGCCCTAGTGGGTGAATCCTGATTGGTCTAAACCAATTATGGTTATTCTATTCCAATTCTCCGTGACTGATCTAGGAGTGGTC